CCGGCCTGGAGTCGTTTGCAGGGAATATATTAGTTTTAGTGGAAGACAATCCTGTCAGTGAGCCTTTCAGTTGTTTAGGGTCGGGGGTTGTTTTTATCACTTTGGTGCAAACAGCCGTCTTTTATGTGTGCGTCTGCCGAAGTGAGGATGTGGGGTGTTCACACTGTTCTTTGGGGTCTTGGGTTTGAATCTTAATTTTGTCTAGCCTCATTTACTGTGGCCAAATAAGTGTTTCGCAGTGTCTCTGACAAGAAGAAGTCTCTGTCTTTAATGAAGGCTTACAGACGGTCATTGGGAAAATTCAGGTTTTAGTTAGCGTTACCATAAAGAAAGAAGTATGCTCGATCCATTGCCTGTACCAGTGATTGAATGGGGTGATAAAGGTGCTGATTCTTTGTACTGAATACCAGCACTGGTATGGTTGTGCGGTATATTGGAGAGTATTTCCTAACCTCTGGAGAAAAAAAAAAGAATGAATGGGGATACAACAATGGGTAACGATTTTGTCGCTTTGGTAGGGTTTGCACAATCCAGATCTATGAATCACTTGGAGGAAGAAGCCTGTCCTGTATGTTGGTTGTTTCTTTTTGTGCTGGCTCTGTTTACATTTGCTGTATTGTTCCATGTCTGACGAATCACTTTGTATGCGTAGTTTATGTCATCATCATCCTCATCTTGTTCTCGCTGTCGTGGTTGCAAGAGAATAACAGTTTTAATCCCCCCCATTCACCCCGTCGCATAAAGTACATCAATTTGTTAGTGTGGTTTCAGGGTCCCTTTATTCATCCGACCTATGTGTCGGAATATAAGGAAATGTCTTACTGGCGTCTGGAGTAGCGGCTACTGGCTTGGCAGTTGCATTCAGGAGGCCAGAGTAAGGAAGAAATTTTTTATCGGGTATCTCGGGTCTTTTTGCCGGGATTTTGTATCCCTGTCGGCCTGGGTTGGTCGTGACAGGCAGAATTGGAAGCCCGCCGTCTAGGTTATCTAAAGTCTGTGGTAGAAACACCTACACTTTGTAGGTGCTGGTGTTGCTGGAATAAATACTGCAGCTGATGTGAAAGGTTATGCCGTGGTCACGTTGGTATGGGTGTAGAAGGGGAAGAACATGCAGCTTTTTTCCCCCCAACTGATAGATCTATTGCTTTTCTTTCAATATGTTGTTTGGAAACTTTCTTTTAAAATAATCCATGATGCTTTTGGAATATCTAGTGGGTTTATATATGAATAATATAATCAAAATGACACTTAAATTTGATCTAAATTGTGTTGGTGTAAAAACACTTCGATTAAAAATTGAGTGTGATTTTCTCCTACCGCCCCATCAACCATGTTCCTTCCTCTCTTTTTTTTTTTTTCTCGTGCCAGGTGATCCAAGTAGAGCTGGGCATACCTTATGTAGAAGACACGGAAGTCTGTCAGGGTGGATGAAAATGACAGACTTTTTAAAAATCATGCTCACTTCATCAAATCATGACTCTTGATAGCATTTTTGAATGAGGTTTCGTTTCCGACTCTGTCAGCATAATGTACATACCATCCATCCCATCTCTTTGTCATTCATTTATGGTAACTGCTCATTTTGATTTCATCATTTTTTTTTTAAAACACATTGAGAATGTGGAAGACATTACTGTTTGGTCTCATTTTCCTTTGTTACATATATGGATTTGTTGGGTCCAGATTACAAAAGCTAAAACAAAACAAAAACTTCATTATTTTTAGGTGATTTTCATATTATCTATATTCCCCCCCCCCCCCCTAAAGAGTGGTCTTCAGCTTTGGTCTCAAAAAGGTATGTGTACCGAACTGTCATTTGTTCATGTAGATTCATTGTAAGCATACCCATTTTTATGAATAAACTCTAAATGATGTTATAACCGTGTTCATCTGTGTTTTTTTTATATCTCTTCCCTAATGTGGAACAAGGTGGGGGGGGGGGGGGGGGGAGGATTTGATTTGCTTTTCAAGCTAGTTATGTACAGTCGACTCCACTTGTGTCTGTGTTGAACTCGCTTTTGATCTTCAGTTAATTAAGTTGACCTTTTTGTCAGGTCCCAGCTCCCTCTTTTTCATTACCGTTCCCTATTGTTAAGTTGAACTTTAATGATCTTTGAGTGAGTTGATCTATTTTTCCGAGTCCCCTGATGACATCCGCTCCTGTAGTCGACTGTACATGTTTGTTATGCTGTGGGTTGTTGGTGGGTGCACTGGTGTTGTTTGCCTCTTCTTTCTATCAAACATCTGTTGTGTCTCTTTTTTGTTACTCTCGGCGTCACTTTTGGCCAGATTCTGTTACCTTTAGTTAGCGTGACTCAGCAGCCCGCTGGAGCTCCCCGGCTCGGGGTCACGGGGTTAATGAGCCTTGAAGTAGTGACTTTGCCGGTGTCGGTTCAGAAGTTTGCATTTTAGTCTATGTTTAAAGCAATATAACTTCTTCCCCATTCCACACAGCGAACCATTACACTGATGTACTAAAACCTTGATGTCTTGAGATTTATTCTGCGTTAGAATTGTTAATTTCTGTGCCTTAGTTTTTGTTCTAGACAAATGTTTGTAGAGTGCCCAATTTGCCCTATTTTTATTACGTACTTTGAATAAATAAATGTTTATTTACAGCGACAGATCTCTCCAAAATCTGTGTTAAGCTAAGAATATTATGTCTTTTACCATCAGAAATTTTTAATCTGCACGAGTAGTAAAAGTCAAGTTATAAGAGAAGAAAGATGCACATCTGCATTTAACTAAAGACACTGAGCGTTAGCTCTTATTTTACCCAAGAGAAAGTTACTTTGTGGTTGTTCATGAATCACGATGTGTCTGTGGCAGCCTGCTTACAACTAAGAAAGATTTTTATTACATGTAGATCTAACATGTGAGCAATTCTCAAAAGGTGCTCCCAATTTTGTTACACAAGGGCCCAAAGTTAAACTTGGTCAGAAGTCAATGGAACTTCACACAGGACAAGTACAAGCATTGATACATAAGAAAACAACACTAAAAAATCACTGCTCTTTCAGGTTTTATTGTAGTCTGCGCATAAAATGACCCAACTGGATTTGGTCGGCTGTGTTGATGACAGACAAAATTTATCGTTTTCAAACAAATCGAACACTTTCAACACCATAGAATTAGGAAAAAAGAACTAATATATTGGGAATAGATATATGAGCTGGATACATGTACCATATTTTATATCAAATGAGTCATTTCTGTACGGTACCCCACGCTTTGTGTCAGTCACCAGTCACAGCCGACAGCAACCAATCTTTAAATTTTTCTAATTATGACAGTGGGTAATTTTAAACATCTAAACCTGTACAATCATGATATTTGTATATGTACTCATTAGCTGACTACAGTAAAGCTAGAAAATCAATTTTGCCTTTGCTAAGACTGCAACCTTCAAAATGTTTGTTGGCCATGATGATGACAGACAAAAAAGTCGGCTGTGATTATGACAGACAAGATACTCTTTGGTGCAACTAGTAGCCGACAAAAAGCAAATACTGTCATAAAATTAGGAGTGTATAGCATTCTCACATGTAGAATCATGAAAGGGAATGGTATTCAACTGTAAATTGCATCAATCCATGATATAGACTCCGATATTTCAATTGAAATTGATTGGCTGTGATGGTGACAGACAATACTATGAATAGTATGAATAGTAAGCCTATAAGTTACAATTCATTCAGTGCATCAATTAAAGAGTGATGCTGACATAATGCGAGTTGTAATGATGCAAAACAAGATAGAGTAGCAATTGGGTGTAGCAATTGAGTGTAGCAATTGGGTGTAGCAGTTGGGT